CTGCAAGTTCTTCTCTATGTGTGTTCTCCCCTCCCCTCAAGAGAGGGCATTTTACAAGATTTTATAACTTTAAATCAAGGGAACAGTAATAAAAGTGCAGCTCAGAAACATGGGAAATTTCATGAGAAATGACTTGTTCATCTCCATACATTCTATCAGTCTCATTGTGGTCAAAAGCAGGTGTTGCCAGCCTACGAATAAGTAACTTGCATTTTAAAAATTACAAAATTGGACCTACACCAAAAGGAAAAAAACCAACCATAGGGAGCCCACCAGAGAACAGTTTACCAAGGAAGATGAAACTCCTGGTGGTGGTTTGCAAACAGCAGCAGACTAGCTAGTGTAAATCCCCTTCATTTAGTCATCGGTTCTTCAGCCTGTCACAGATACTGAAGGGAAATGCAGAAACAGGAAATTACAGACTATTTTAAACAGCATGTTTTATTAAACTCACTTGCTGATGCACTTTATGGCAGGATGCGAGACTCAAGTGTTCATAACTTACATTTTTGCAAGTGCTTTTCCTAAGTGAGTTCTCCCAGCTGAAATATGGCTTGTACACAGAGCTGGAAACAGTCTCTGAACTAGTCACTGGCCGCAGGTCATGTAGCTGTGTCACATGCGATGGAAAAGTGTTAGCCATGTGAAGGGAGTATACCTCGCTTATCCCCTGTAACGCTAAGAAAACGATGTAGTAACTAAAAGATTCTGAATGCATTTATTTTTATCCACAGAATCAAAACACAGCAATCTATTTTTAAAAAAATTTTTTTTTATTGATATCAGAGAGGAAGGGAAAGGGAGAGAGAGAAACATCAATGATGAGAGAGAATCATTGATCAGCTGCCTCCTGCACGCCCCACACTGGGGATCGAGCTGGCAACCCCGGGTATGTGCCCTGACTAGGAAAACGAACGTGACCTCCTGGTTCATAGGTCGACGCTCAACCACTGAGCCACGCCGGCTGGGCAAAACACAGCAATCTTAAAATAAATTACTAGGAACTATACATTGTCTCTTTTGTTATCTAAACAGTGATTTCATTCTTCCCTTCCTGGGACAATTCTGCCTCTAGTTTAAACCATCGTTAATGCCATGCAGAATCCTGATTTTGGAAATTGGCAGAGATGTGATCACCTTAACTACAAATAAATGACTTCACACTTAAGGGACTGTCATGAAAATGGATTTGATCAACTTATTTTCAAGAACGTTTTCTGCTCACAATTTGAGGGATAGGAACGCTTAGCTGTGTCGCAGAAGAATCTATGTTGTCTGACATTGACGGTGAGGGTGACACCTCTTCGGCTATGCCCATGTCTTCTGCAAGGTGTTCTTGGCTCTCCTCTATCATACATGGAAAGGAAGTTGTCAAGTGGAGCTGTAACACAAGTTCATGATTGGAGGGGTGGGCAGTCACGCCTTGATGGAGTTATCTACGAGCTCTAAAAGTAAATACCTTCATTCACTCGCTTCAGTATTTACTGAGAAAAGTAGCATGCAAAATGGTCTAAATGTCTATTGTCTTAAAAGATTATGCCAAAGATGCTTTACCCTAATGATTGATTGGTTGTCAAATAGTCACTTCGAAGAGTTTTGAATTTTTCTCCCTTCCTCCCAGGTCCCCATCCCTGCAATCTTTTTTTTTCTTTTTTAAATTTCCATAGACTTTATTTTTTAAAAAAAAATATATTTTATTGATTTTTTACCGAGAGGAAGGGAGAGGGATAGAGAGTTAGAAACATCGATGAGAGAGAAACATCGATCAGCTGCCTCCTGCACACCCCACACTGGGGATGTGCCAGCAACTAAGGTACATGCCCTTGACTGGAATTGAACCTGGGACCCTTCAGTCCGCAGGCCAACGCTCTATCCACTGAGCCAAACCGGCCAGGGCATCCATAGACTTTATTTTTATGAGCACTTTTAGGTTCACAGCAAACTGAGCTGGAGGTACAGGGATTTCCCATATCCCTTCCCCACCCCCGCCCCATGCACAGCCACCCTCATCTCAATATCCCCCGATCCCCACAAAGGAGTGCCTTTGTTACCATCTATGCACCTGCATTGATACATCATCCCCCCAAGTTTACATTGGAGTTCACTGTTCATCCCTGCAATCTTGTTCCCAGGACCCCTTTCAAGGTGAAGTGTAGAATAATAGGATTTTAGCGTGGAAGCATATAATGGTGATTACCTTTGCCCTTTTAAAGGGCCTTTACAGACCATCTTCTACATCACCCACTTTTAGGGAGGAAGGACCAGAGACAAAGGTTCATGATTTGGTTAATGACATGCACCTCGCTGCCTAGGGGTAGCAATTAAAGGCACTCTTGGGGAGCTGGGCCATTTTCTTAAGTGAAGATTTCCCCTCATTTAACTTTTAAAAGTCTGGATTCTGCCACATCAGGTTTCCCTTACAGCTGAGCGCAGCAAGGAGAAAAGGTGCTCTTTCCATGTGGGGAGAGAGCAGGGAGAGGTGAAGGAGGGTGTGTTTGATTTCCCAGGCTCAGAGGATGCAATATAGAACCCAGTTAATAGGTTGAACTTGCTGCTAAGGGGTGCCATGGCCATTCTGGAAAAACCCAGCTTAGTGTCTCCTGAGCAGAGATGACAACGCAGGCACGTAGGAGGCCCTGATGCTCTCATCCCAACAGGAACATTTTTGTTATTCAGGTGGATGGTTCGGGATTATTTTTTTGGTGATGACAAAGGTATTCCTTGTACTATGTTGGAAATGTCGTGAAACTAAAGCTTGATGACTAACAATGACAAATGTGACGCTGCTGGATCCACAGGCATCGCTGCGCCTGCAGGGGAGCTCTAGCGGGCTCTGTGGAGCAGGTGCTGGGCCCGCAGTCAGGTGAGTGCTGTGGAAAGCCACCAGCTCCGCCATTTCCAGATCTGCCATCAGGAACAACATCTGGAAGTGCTGGGCTTTTTAAAAGCAAAAGGATAAGTCCTTCCTTTCATATTTAAATCTCCGTGATGTATTACACTCATAATAAGGATGGCACATTTGACAAATTAATTAGCTGCCAACGAGCATTCCCCTTTCTTCAGATAAAATATTAGCCTCTTAGAATAACATGAATACGGAATTGTATGGAATATTACCAGCAATCATCTGTAGCCGTTTTTACCACTTACAAGGTCATCTTCTTGACAATTTGACATTTCCTAAAGGAATGAACTAGGAGTCAGTATTTACAGATTCATCTTATGCTATTTTTTTTCCCCCAGAAACTCTGCCAAAGCTAAAATCTCTGGGTTCTTTAAGATAAAACCTTACTGATGATCAATTGCATTGTGCTCTTAATCCATAGAAATCTAAACCTGTAAACCAGGACCATTCAAAAACACCTGTCATACTGACTTCAAGTAAAAACTCCCATGTGGCCACTGCCCACTACAGTTTCTAGTCGTTTTGAGTTGTTGGGTTGTTTTTTTGTTTGGTTGGTTTTTGTTTGTCTGTTTTTAAGGAGAAAGAGCAATGGAAAAGAGAAACATGGCCGATAATCATTAAAATAAGGAAATCTTAATGAATTTTGATCATTTTAATAAATATATATCAAGAAAACCTCACTTTATTACAACAACACATTCATATACAAGCGTCTATCATCTAAGTTTTCAACATCAAATGTTTATCAAATATTGAAAATAAAGGACAAACTTTACTAGACTATTTAGCCATAACACAAGAACATGTTTGAAAAATTGGTCCTTGTGGACATTGTCCAAATAATGATCCTACTCATACACTGTATGAATGAGACCTATATTTAATATTAATAGCAGTAATAAAAAAAGCTTTATCTTGGAGAAACTGGGAGGACTTACTTATTTCCTCCATTTGGCATTTGGTTCGTGCAGTCCTGTTTAAGGAGGCCCAATCAAATAGTGACTTTGAAATTGGAACACAGTTAAGCAGGAGGAACTGGCTGGAGCAGAGGGAAGGAGGGTCAGAGGGGTGCTCTGAACCCTCTTACAAATGTACAGATTAAAGAAATGATTGAGAAAAATGTTGACCAAATACGTAGACTGTAGCTATTGCCGGCTGAGTCCCATTTCTCCAAAATAACTTTCCCAAACCTAAAATCTTTACATTCTTTAAGATAAAACCTTATTGATCACCACATCATTTATTAACATTGTGCTTCTTAATCAACAGCAAAAGTTATATATAAAAAACCACATGCTTTTATAATCTAAACGAGTGAAATGATGCAAAACAGATTAAAATATAATGCATGCCACTGGTTCATGAACTTCATTGGACAAGAAAACCAAACCAAACCAAACGACCCCAAACCCAAAAAACCCAACCCCAGCAACAGACGGTTGCCATAGAAAAGCCCAAACAGCTAGCGCTGGTTCCCAACAGCTCTCTCTATTGTTTCCTCCATCCCTTTCAAAAAATGCCAAATTCAGAAACAACTGGGCATCAAAAATAAAGGAACCATAGAGATGTCGAATCAAAAGTTGAACGCAATAGCTCGAAGGTAACGGTTTCCAAACAATATCGATCCACCCTGTGTGTGTTTTTCCTGTTTGTTAAATCCCTGCTGTAACTCTGATTCATCCTTAATTTTCACATTGGCAAAAATTAAGATAAAGTAAGGCACCGAAAATCGCCCTGTATACCACTTCCCTAAAAGCCTCAGCACCCACCGCAGGCGAGCGGGAATTTGCAGGGAGCACCCTCCACACATAGTGTTGATTGCCGCCCCTAGACAGGTGTGTCTCCTTTACGTTATGTTCTATTTTCGTCTGTCACACCAGCCTGTTAAATACAAATACTTAACAGCACCATGAAGCCATTTCACCTAGCTCCCTGTCTTCAGTCTTTCATTCAGAAAAAAATACTGTAGCCTATAGACCAGTGGTTCTCAACCTTGGTTGCACATTAGAATCACCTGGGAATCTTTTTAAAATTCTGATTTCTGGGCCTCATCCTCTGGAAATTCTGTTTCTGTTCCTAATGTGGCCTCACCCCATAACAAAGAAACAGCATTTCTGGAGGGTGAGGCCCAGAAATCAGGATTTTAAAAAGATTCCCAGGTGATTCTAATGTGCAGCCAAGGTTGAGAACCACTGCTATAGACGAAGCAGACCTCCTTTGCTGGTTATATTGATTTGTTTACCAAATACCTACCTAATTCATTGGCAAACGTTGAAGTTTCTTAGCTAGTGACAGGCTCCTTGGGGATAATGGACATGTCACAAGGGCGCATTGTCCCCCCGGTCTAATCTACTGGTCTTTTCTGTAAGAAAACTAAGATAGACTTTTAAGCATGAAGTCAACTGTTTTCTTGGAAAAATTACCACACTTCTAAGTAGCTCACTGATGCCTACTATACAGATGTTTTACGCAATCTGCTCTCCAGGCATTAAAACGACACGGCATGTTCATGGCATAATCGTATCAGTTGTACAAAACTAGAAAAATCCATTCAGAATAAAATGTAGGAGCGCTAATTGATCATGCTGAGCATGCGTCAGAGTTGCGGTGGGAAGATGGCTCGTGTTTCACTTCCTTTTGCTGCAGCACAGTTTGTTGCCCGGTGAAGGCTCCTTTCTCCTCAAGGACTTTTTCCAGGACTCACTGACACTGTGTTTTTCATTATAGCCAGTCTCAAAATAATCATAAAATTGGCCTTGGCTCCCAAAACGAGAGGTCATTTCAACATGATACATGGCTTTCGAGGACACCAGATCTGTGAGTGTCATCGTCAGATTCGCCTCATGTAATTTGGCGTTTCGTGAAGAGCAAGCGCCTGCTATTAGTAACAAAGTTTTCGCTGGCAGGTATATGGCCGTCACCCTTGTAAACTCGGTGCACCGCCTACAATCAAAATCCACCTGGTGGGAACAACTTAGTACAGGCAGAGAGGTAAGAGGACGAGGCAGAGGAAGAGGAAGAGGAGGAGGAGGAGGAGGAGGAGGAGGAGGGGGAAGAGGAGGAGGAAGAGGAAGAGGAAGAGGAGGAGGCAGTGGTGGAGGCACTTCCAACATTAGCATTGACAGAAAGGGGTAAATTTAGGTAGTGACCACCACAATCTTGGTAAAAGCAGCAGGCATGAATCTTCTCACACTCCTCTTTGGCCATCCGAGGTCGTTTCCGGTAAGGACAGTCCTGAGCCACGAACCACTCCTGGGCAGGGGCGCCATTGAACGAGCAGGCAGGGAAGCACCAGTTATTCTGCATGATAATTTCTCCATGGATCCTTTTCATCAAATTGTTTATCAGGACCGATCTTCGGAGGTACACTTCAGGGTCGTCGATAAACTTTAGCTTCTCTAAGGACATGTAAAGGATGTGGGCTCGCTCCTCAAAAATGGAGATGGTCTAAAAATCCAAACAGGAAGAGAAAGCTTAGGAAAGGGACTCTATGGATATATCATCGCAGCATCATTCTTTCTGGGCCGTGTCTGGATCTGGGAATGCGTGGCCCTGTTTCCCCAGGTTCCTGTAGAGCAGTGGTTCTCAACCTTCTGGCCCTTTAAATACAGTTCCTCATGTTGTGACCCAACCATAAAATTATTTTCGTTGTTACTTCATAACTGTAATGTTGCTACTGTTAGGAATCGTAATGTAAATATCTGATATGCAGGATGATCTTAGGCGACCCCTGTGAAAGGGTCGTTCGACCGCCAAAGGGGTCGCGACCCACAGGTTGAGAACCGCTGCTTTAGAGAGGTTGACCCCTGTGCTACGAACGGCCCCTTCCTGACTCACTGGTGTGGCCAAGCCCCAGGGAATCCAGCCACAAGTCAGACCTCCGCAGGGACAAGCCAGGTTGCTGCCTCTTTCATGGCACAATGAGGAGGACGGAAAAGATACTGAACTGTGCTGTAAGAAGCCAGGAGGGTAGTCTCCCTGGAGGGCAGAGAGGTAGTGACTAGAAGGGGGGCCATGGAAGGGTTCTGGGTTCTGGTGATGTTGCTTCTTGATCTGGATACTAATGACATAGATATGGTCACTGTGTGAAATTCTCCAAGCTGTACTCTTATGATACTTGTGCTTTTATGTGTGCAACACACATGCATCTATGTGGCGAGCCGGCACGGCCATGGCATACTCAGACCCACACTGGGCGCCTTATGTGCCGCGCCAGCTCAGCCAGGTTCAGTGACCCTGAGAAGGGGCGGTGAAGGATTGAGAAAAGACAGACAAGAGAAGAAAGCTGGGTCTGGGTGGGATGCTGCCCTCTCGGATGGAGACACAGCCCCACGGACTACAAGCCGTGTCTTTATTTTATCGCCAGATTCCACGAGGCAAAGTAAGGGCGTGGTCAAGATGTTTACAACATTCTCCTGGGTTTCGATCCTACATGCACCTGAACTCTATCAAGCCCACATCACTCAGGCACATGGGGCCACGTGTTCGGACCATAGGTTCAAGCTTACAACGATAGCTGTTGGCTATAATTGTGCTGGGAGGGCTCTGCCCTCCAAGCTGAGACTTGCACGTGGCCATGAGAGGACTGTGCCCTCTCATTAGTCCGAGGCTTGAACCTATCCAAACACTGTAGCTGCTCTCCACACATATAGACACACAGACTCACATATTGTATGTCAATAAATGATTTAAAAAGATGCCGACATACAAGACATAATGAGTCCACTTCAGAGCCTGGCCTAGCCGTCCAGGGGCATGAGATCTGGTCTCCATGTTGTCCCTCTTTCAATCCTCTGGGTTTCATATTTGCAATGATCTTTGCTCGAAGGGGGGACGATGATTAAGGAATGAAGCTCAGAACCTGAAAAGTTCTGAAGAGCCAAAGTAGGCATCCTTCTGGGCCGGGCAGGAGCAGGGACACCGAGAGGGAATGAGGGGGCTCACTCCTGAGTGATGGTTGGTACAGATCCAGCAGCAATTGGAAAACTGCTACAACCACAACACAAGCTAAAGAGGAAACACACTTCTTGTGTCCTAGGGGCCAGCTCTTCCAGCTCATAAAAAAGCCAAGTGGTAGCATAACCCGAGGAGCGGAGAACTGAACCAGCCCAGGCTGACCAAAGGCAGGGACTACACACGCAGGGAGAAGCCCAACACCTGCCAGTGTGTGCTGATGTCTTCATGAGCAGGGTCAACGTGACTTCTACAGGACAGGGGTGGTGACGGGGGACGTAGGGGAGTCAGAAGAGACAGAGAGAAAGATGAACCGAACAACTAAAACTCCTCTCTGCCTTTCAGACAGCTAGGGTCTGGGCTGACTAAGTCAACAGCTATATTTTGAAGAAAGATAACAGTAAGGAAAAAGAGATGGTGTTTGAAAAGCTTAGATGGCCAGTTTCATACTTCTACACACTTTCCTGATCCTGTAATTTTCTTATAATATGTGCAAAAAGTGAGCTTTGGTGTTTTCTTGGGAATGGATGATATATTTGAACAAAATGAACATATGTAACAAATGTGCAATGAAGTGCAGGTTTCTACTTTCATGCACACACTGGAGGGAGGGTGAGTCCATCCCTAAAGGGAGGGGCAAAGCCCGGAGGAAGCACCCCACGTGGGCACACACAGAGGGGGCGCTGTCCCAGGAGCCAGAGCTGAGGGCGAGAGCAGGTCAGAGAAGGGAAAGGGCATTTCAGCACACGTGAACACCAGGACTAGCCACAACCCGTAACACAGCCCGAGAAGAAAAGGAAATCATTTGTAAAAGAGACGCTCCTTGGATTATATAATTCTGTTATTTCTGGGCAGTGGAGCGCCTGCTGGCTCTTTTCTCAACTCCTTGTGAAAAATAACGCAGGACCCAAAAAAGTGACAACGATTAATATGGCTATGATGAGAAGTAGCTCCCTTTCATTGCTTGGGAGGAACAATTTAATTTTTTGGAAATGGATCAGGCAACTGTTACTCAGTATCTTAAACTCTTAATAAAAGTAATGACTATTAAAAAAAACATACTTTATGGCTACAGCTGCTGAGTGGTGGGTGAAAATCCTCTTCTTCCACATACTTCCTCTTAAAGTATGTGATCTTGGATGTTGTTATAGGATTTGAAATTCCCCTGTAATGTGATCCTGTGGTAATAAATCAGATATGACAAATGACATGCGGTTTGCCAGAGGTTCTCCAAACAAAATACTTTTCTCTCCTTTCCTTCTAGAAGATAACTTGGCTACGTATCTCTCTGTACATGTGGTGATTAAAAGCAAACACTTGTCTTAATAATTGCTATCATACAGAATCCTGTGACCCAGGCCAGGCAAGGCTTCCTAGACAATGAGAGAGGAAAACGACATATTTCAGCCTTCACTAAATACTCAGATTCTTTGCACAGGCAAACTCAAAAGGGGAGGACTGTAACAACTCCGAAATAGTATTAATATTTCTTCAAATTGTTTAATTAAATCCATGATACCCTAACACCACTCAAATACAGGGTGCCCCCTCCCCAAAATGTATACACTTTAACAGCTGATAGTTCAATTTTGAAAATGAAAGTATTTTAATAAACGCTGCCTTTATAATTATTCAAAGTGTGTGTACATTTTGGGGGACACCCTATATATACATATACTAAGTTATAAGCATAATAATTAAACAACTTTCAAGTATTATTGGCTTTAGGTAAGGAAAGTATTGGCTTTAGGTAAGGAAAGAAATGATCAACGGTACATGGGAATTGTAATATTTCTTCTTTCAAAATATGAAATTTAAAATTTAAATTTTGGATAACTAAAGTCCTTTTGGCTCTCAAAAATGTAACAGGGTCTACTTTTTAAAGACCACAGCTTTTAATCCTTTTTAGCAAACCAGACTTCACAAGTACTTGTTTTACATTGTAGGGTTCTTTAAAAATTGCTAGTACTACACACAAATCCAAAGGAGCTTACCTTAAAATATTAGAATAAAGAATGAGAAAGAACATAGTTCTGTTTTCTGAGCTTTGACATTTTTCCCTACAATACCAAAGCCAATTGTGTGCTTAATAATAAGAAGAGACACAGCACTGCTGGCCCAAAGTGCAGATTCCTTTTTGTCTCATGGGACGAGGATTTCATTGTCAAGCCCCCTGGGGCTTGTCTAGCTTTGAGAGAACCATGCAATTCCACAAAACCCAAACCCCAAACTGAGAGTTTCAAAATCTGGTTTGGTTCTCTTTAAAAAAAAAAAAAAAGACACATGACTTCTACCCGAAGCAGCAGCACATGTCCAGACTCAGATTTGAATGCAATTTAAGTATCACCTCTGGTCCTCTCCCTGGAGCCCTGGGCTCAGGTAGGAGAGATGCATGGGCAGCCTGGAAAAGCCCCTGGAGCTGGGCTCAGCTCAGAGAGGCCCTGCAGACACCCCTTCCTCCCACCAGTCCAGCCTCAGAGAGCAGCAGGCGAAGGTCAAGAGCAGTACCTGCCAGCGGGGGGCCGGCTCCCCGGTCTCCCTGCAGAGGAGCCTGTGCTGGCCCTGGGGGGCTCGGGCCTCCGTAGCTGTCAGCCTCCCATAGTGTCTGGTACCCTGCAATTTCAGCAGCTCCTTCCGAGACAATGGGCTCGCAGAATCTATTCATGGACAGAACCAGAGTCATCGCTGACAGCCTCAGATCTGAAAAAACAGAAAACAGCCCCGATCAGGAGGAAGCCAGGCCCTGGCCTTGGCATCTTCATCCCTTTGCTCTGGGAAACTTTTACTTCTGGGTCCTCCCTTCACCCTGAAACAGTTGATTGTTTTTTCAAAGAGAACCTCAGCAAACTCTCTCGCTGCTGTTAGCTCAGCCTCTGCGTTCGGCAATCTGCATTTCATGGGCGGATCTTTAAAACCCCATCTCGTATTGTTCTCAGATTCCCCTCAGCCCTCTTCAAGGCAGCTGCTTTGCCTCCTAAACACATTTTCCTCCTGACCTTGCCACAGCAAATGTACCGCTGGCAGGCAAGGCCAAAACCCTTGCGCTTCCTTTCTATTAATAAGGCGAAATCAATTTTCTAGCCAATCCCCCGAGAGTCTCCTTTGATGAAATCCGCTAATCAATCAAAAGAAAGGGGTAGGGGAGGCAGAAACCTCCACCAGGAATCCCTACTGACGCTCTCAGGTTCCTCTGTTCCGCTGCCCCCTCCTCCTCCTCCTCGAGTTTCCGCAGGGCCAGTTCCTCTACAACATTCTGGGGCTCCCTCCGCTTTCTTCTCCCAAAGCGAAGCAGACAGAGACACACTTGGTAGTTGTTTCCACCAGCCCTGATCGGCCTGAACTGGATCTGCCTCCAGTCAAAACACTGAGAGATGAAGACAGAAAATTGGCTCCAGTTTCAAGCCGTGAGTTGCAGTCCCACAGGAGCCAAGCACAACATCCACGGAGCAGGCGGAATATTAAACAGGAGCCAGGGCTTTGGGGCCAGAGGCAGCCGACAACTCTTTACACTGCAAAGCCCAGACACAAGGCAGGAACTTTCCAAGAGGCAACACACCACACTCATGCCCTTCTCTCCAGTTCGCGTCCTTCCCCAGGGCCTCCAGGGAGACAGGGAGCCTTCTTGCTCTGTGAAGCGAGCTGGGCCCCTCCATAACTCAGGTTTGGGGGGTGGGGTGGGTCATGTCCATGGGGGCTCAGTGCCTTCCCTTGGTCCTAAGTAGGCCTCAAGGTAGGGTCAAGAGTGAGTTCAAGGAAGAAAAGGGTCTGATACTAAAGTAAAAAGACTCAGGGGCCACAGATCAGTGGTGACAGAAGAGCAGCCTCAGTGCCTCCCTAAGTGCCAGGTCCTTTAGGAGAGCCAAACCTTCACCCTCACTCTGCAGTTTAAAGAACTGTCACAGGGTGATGTCAGGCCTGCTTTCTGCAGATTGACTGTCTTGCACATATGCATGAAGGGTCTAGTTCTTGCTTTCTTCTCCAAATTATACAGCTTATAATGTTTTGGGGAAAGGGTGACTCTCCCATTGTCTCGTGGGAGACTATTATAACAAGGGGCCACTTCCAGGTAAAAGACACCAGGGATAGGGAAAAATAGCTTCATTAAAGTGACAAGGTCCTTCTGACAAACACAGAAGCTCTTGGCAGCAATGGCTCCATCCTTCACACAGGCTTCTCTTGGGGATCCTAAATTCCATCCCAACCTCACTAGAGAGTGAAGCAAAGCCTTCTATAGACAGGGAAGTGTCTGGGGTGGTGGTGGTGGGGGCAGGGGGGCGTCAGTGGCTGGAATTAGGACCTAGCTGATTTGGGCTTCTAAACCACTTCCCCCTTCTCTTTCCAAATGCCCTCCGAAGAGGCAGCTGCTAGGACTTATTAGAAAAATCTTATTGCAAGAGAAGAAGAAGAAGAAGAAAAAAGAGGTTCAGTGAATTCTCTAAAAAGACATGGTGGGACACGTCATTCATTTTGTCCTTTGAGTCACCAACCAAAAAATTTAAACTACATTGATTGAACAAACTACGCCATTCTGTCTGTCACCCCCTCCAACGCTGCATCCGAACAAGTTACAAAACCTCATGGTAATTTATTCCCTGGAAGACTCTCATGACATGGTCCAAACTGAAACTCTTAACCTATTTTAAGACAATTGCATCAGGAAGTGCTATTGCCATGAACATATGAATTAGAGGTTTTTCTGAGGCAGCAGCCCTCTCTTAGTGACTGCGACAATATTTTCCAGCTTGACATTTACCCTCCCTTTTGTGCTGGATTCTAGGAATAAGATCCAAACTTTTTGCCCGAGAAGAACTTTTATTACATCGAAACCAAAGCAGGTTGACAAATCCATGCCCTGTAAGAGAGGAAAGTATTTGCAGGCCGCAGCAGCAATTACCTTTGTTTAATAGGACATTATGTGGGCCCTGGACTGTGTTATGTCAGTAAGAGTTTGTTTACATTTTAAGGACTTATTGTTGTAGCTTTTCTGGTTAAGGATTTCAGTGTTTCTATTTGTCAGTATTGTTTCCAGTACATAAATATTTATCATCACGCATTGGAACTTGAATCGTGAACTTGAAACCAGGCAAAATTGTTTTTATTTTGGCTGTTTTTTCCCTTCATGATACTAATTTCAGTAAGTTTTTCTTTTCTGAATTGAAAACGTTGACACACAAAATCCTAACCTGGAGAGGCTGAGTTCCACAGCTATTGAGTCTTCCTAGTCTATTTAGAATTTACAGTCGAGGATGTTAACCAATGAAGAAGGCAAGTGTAAGGTTCAGGAAGAATTGGAGTGTGCAGCGCTAAGCACCGATGTTTCACGTGATTCTTTATTTGTGTTATATGCGCAGACCCACACTGTCATTATTCTCTGTAGGATGAGATTTACATATCATTCTACTACTGAAGTCAGAAGTTTAAGTCCACAAATTAATGTGCTGTTAATATTAAATATAGCCGCCAAGATCTATAGTAATGGCAAAATCTGCTTAACATGAGAGATGAGTGGATTAAAAAACAAAATAAAACAAAAACAAAAGTGTGTTCAAGTGTGTTTTGTTCATACATTGGGTTTAAAAAAATCAAAAGGCTCTAACCTTTTATCCTCAGGCTCCTACATGCCTGTTTTGTGAGCCAAGTGATGTAGTGGTATGACCCCTCCAGCATCCCCAGGCGGCTGAGGGCTCCAGCTTTCCCAGAAAATGCTCCCAGTAAAGTTACCGGGCACTTCTATTCGGTTTGGTTTTTCCAGATGGGCTGGGCTTTTTTTCTCGGAGCCATTATGATGCTAATAGGAGTGACTGGCACACAGAACAGGGTAGCCCCAGATTGTGGCACCTTGAATCTAACGGAGGCCTCTGGTCATTCTTTGCCCACTCCCTCCCCACCCCCCATCTGTCCTTAGAAATTAAAGAACATTTTATTAAGAGCATTATAGCAGTTAGAGGTCTGATCCCAATCCTGGAAAGCAGGTAAGTAAAGGGCTTGATATTTTCAAAGCACTGACATTGCCTGTCTCAAATGCCCTGCCCCAGTGGAACCAAGCCCAGGCCTCCACATTGTCCCTAATAAGATCTCAACAGTTCAACCCAGCTCTTGAGAGCGGTGGTGGGAGAGGCTGGATGGGCGCAATAAAATCCTCCCAACCCTTCCCACATAGACAGACACGGCTCTTAGGCCAGGCCTGGCAGAGAACACCTGTCTGCCCTGAGAAGTACATTTCTCTGAGGGCCATGAGCTCTAGGTCAGGTCCTGGGTCCGAGGAGGAGCGGCGGAAGGTGGGTGTCCAAGTCGCTGGGGCCAGGTCTTCCCATCCCAGGCCCCAGCCTGGGATCCGAAGCTTAGAGAACCGACCCCCTGCGGGCTGGCAGCAGCCCTCAAATCCCGGCTCCCAATCAGACACACCCCCGGGGTCGTGCCCAAGCCTCCGAGCCCCTCCGTGGGGCAGCGAGCAGCGCCCTGGCTACCACCGGCCGCAGGGGAAAGTAAACAACACCCCAAGTGTCTGGGAACAAAGGCAAGTTGTCTTTCCACAGCCTCTCCTGAAGAATAAGGGCTATTATTATTCTTTCTGTTCTTCATTCTTCTTCTTTTTTTTTTTTTAAACCAAGTTTCCTTCTAAGGAAATAAACACCAAAGTGGATTCCAAGAAATGACTCAGGCGGTGGCTGGGTCTGCGATGCTGGCCGGTCGCGCTCAGCCGCAGCCCATCTGCCCGCCTCCCTCC